TAGCTAAAGTGGTGCTTCAGGTTAAGAACAGACCTCCAGAACGAATTAAGTACTTAACCCGAGGTACCACTGTACTGGCACGCAGCAGCAGCACTTCAAAAAAATGCGGAGAGGGAGGCAAAAAAGGGCAATACTATTCACAAGGACAACAAGAAACGTATTTCTCCAGCACTACCCATTTATGCGGCAGCTGTCCCCGGGGTGCTGCCCTCCGCTCTAAGGGGCTTGACTAGATGATCCTCAGGGTCCCCTCCGACTCTACCATTCCGCGATCCTACGCTGCTCTGTCCCCAGGGGAGGGGCGCATGGGCTTCCCTTGGCCTCCACGATCTCCACCCATGGGGGCACACAGGGGCTGAGGGACTGGCCCCAGGTCTGGCAGGACCCTGGATCCGATGACGCGGCAAGGGTGATCCTAACAGGAGGCTCCCCGGAGGCTTCGGGACAGCGCTCAGCGCCCAGCCCCGGTTGCCCGGGCGGCAGGGGCTGGCGGCTTCTGCAGGGCCGGGCTAGGGAGGGAGAGGGCAGCGGCACTCACCCCGGTCTCATGGCGCTGGAGCCGGTCGCCGCTGGCGGAGGCGGGAGGGAGTCGGGCGGCGGCGGCGGCGGGGGAACGAGCCGCCGACGGACCAGTTCCCAGCCAGCGCTGCTGCGGCTGCGGAGCAGCCCGGGGAAGGGGGCGGGGCTTCGCGGCGGGGCCGGAAGCGCGCGGCCGCGGCGGGGCGGGGCCTGCGTCCCCAAGCGCGCGAGGTGGGAGGAAGAAGGAGGCAGCGGAGCTGAGGCGGCGGAAGCGCCTGGGCTGCTCGTCGCGGAAGTCGCTGCTGCTGCCCTGCCCTCGCATGGCGGCCGCTGGGCGCCGCTGGCCGCGATCTTCGGGACTGGCCGTGACGCCGGAGAGAGGCCTCCGCCAGCGAGAGGCCCGGGAGGCGTAAGGCGGGCCAGGCCGCCGGGCGACCGCCGCCGTTTCCTCTCCGTCTCCTGCAGGATCGGTGACCGCGGAGGTGATGGGGAAATACTTCCTGACCCTGAGCGTCCTCAAGGGGCCCTGGGACCAAGTCTTCGCCGCCTTCTGGCAGCGCTATCCGAACCCCTACAGGTGAGCGCGGGCCGTGGGGTCTCCTCTCCCTCCCTCCCTCCCTCCCCCCCCTCGCCAGCCCTTTCATTGCAGGAAGTGAGAAGGGCTGGGGTGGGGGAAGCACAGTGTTTTCCTCTTAGGAGATGCCGGGCGACAGCCTGACAGAGCGATACTTTCTCCCTCCCGTGATCCCTGCTCCCGTCATTGGCTCCGGAGCAAGCCCCATACATTTCGGGTGGCCCCGCACTCGGGGCAGATGCGGCATTCCCAGTCCGAACCTGTTCACGTACATACAGGCTGCTCGGTTGGCTGGGGCTTGCCGCTAGGGGAGCGCGCGCCGGGGTGCTCGCAGCCCTGACTTGGTGGGCTCAACCTGGCGACCTGTGCTGCCCCCAGCGGCGGTCTCAAGACGGGGTAATGCAGTGGGGACAAGTCTGGCGGGAGACGTACGTGCTGGTAAAGCAGTTGCCTTTCTTCTCTGCCTTGGCCAAGGCCGCTGCATGAACCTTTCACCTAGTGCGCCGGGAGAGGCTTTGTGGCCATCAGGGTGTAATCTTTGATAGCCTCTTCTTTGAGGCTAAGCCGTCGGAGCTTGCTGTTTACCGATCATTTGGATTTTGGGAGGTGGGGCAGGGCAGGGATTTCTATAAACAGGAGTAAATAAGATCAAAAAGATTTGCTAGATGATAGATTAGCATAGGCAGATATGCTGGAGGTACGGGTGTGGTGTGTGTAAAAAATATCGAAGTTTGCTCTGGAAGAGCCATTTTCAAATGCCACAGGCAACCTTTTCTCTTTGCCTGTTGCCTTGACTCTTGAGGAAACCATCCTCTTAACCAGGCTTCCTCAAGCTCGGCCCTCCAGATGGTTTTGGCCTACAACTCCCATGATCCCTAGCTAGCAGGACCAGTGGTCAGGGATGATGGGAATTGTAGTCTCAAAACATCTGGAGGGCCGAGTTTGAGCTCTTTACACTGCTGTAAAAGTGCACATGCACAGATTTGTGTTTTCATTAGGGATCAGTTGATTAAAACCAACTACTAGCTTCTGGTGGTGATTGACTCGCCTGTAAATCAGCCTGTAAATTATCTGACATCACCGGGACCTCAGGTAATCCTTTTTTCCTTTGCAGAGTGACTTGAACTCAAGCTGAGCTACAAAGGAAGATCCCAGCCAATCTAAGTAGGGCTTGAAGTCAGCACTGATTAGCTGAGTGGCACTGTCATTAAGCCTCAATTTTGGCTAGGGTCAGCTACACTTGGGAGCTCTGCAGCTCCCTAAGCAACGTGTTAACATCGTACATGCCATTTAGTGGAGGTGGCTTGGGGAAAAACAGCTAAACTGGGGCCTAAGTGGGACAGAGGGAAGCAGTCCAGCTAGGAATGGCATTCCGCTCTGCTGAGTGACTGGATAGGAGGCAATGTACTCTTGTCACATGATTATACACATAGGAAAGCTTAGAACAGCCTTCCCCCAATCTGGTGCCCTCTGGGACTACCAACTCCTATCTGCCCCAACCAACATGGACATCAGCCAGGGACGATCAGAGTTGTACTCCAAAAAAACCAGTTGAGGAAGCACAGCTTAAAATGAATTCGTCAGACCCTCTTCTCTCCTCCCCAGCAAACATGTCCTGACAGAAGACATTTTACACCGAGAGGTGACAGAAGACCAGAAGCTGCTTTCCAGGCGGCTCCTCACCAAGACCAACAGGATGCCTCGCTGGGCAGAGCGCTTCTTTCCATCCAATGTCGCCCACTCTGTCTACATCCTCGAAGATTCCATTGTGGACCCACAGAACCGAACCATGACCACATTCACCTGGAACATTAATCACGCACGTCTTATGGTGAGCAGGCTTTGAGCAGGGCTAGCAGCATAAACTCCTGCTGTGTTTCGTCCTATGGGGGGAGTTGATGGTCATTTTGTTGTGCCATCTCTTGTGCCTTGCAGGTGGTGGAGGAGCGGTGTGTTTACAGAGAGAACCCTGAAAACAGCGGCTGGACAGAAGTCCAGCGGGAAGCTTGGGTTTCCTCCACTCTGTTTGGTGTCTCGCGTGCTGTCCAGGTGAGTGGTCAGTGACCCGTGTCTCTTGATATACTTCAGCTGCAAAGAGGCAGTCTTAGAAGAGCTCAACATGACGGGTACCTTTGGATAGTTTTGTAACTGGGAACTAGGGCTGGGCGATATCAGCTTTTCAACACTGCGGTGTATCACCAGCCAAACATCACAATTTGGTGATATACCGCAGTGTTGAAAAAACAAGATGCATTGGCCTCTGCCTGCGAGACACTAGGTGAAACTGCCCCTGCTCTTGCCTCAGGCACAGCATTGGGGCTCCTTTGACTGCTTGCTGTGGGGAGGAACTCAGGAGTGGTGGTAGTTTCACCAGTGAAAACTGACATCCTGGCCTGCTCCTCATACAGCTCCTGGCCGATGTATTAATATATCACCCAGGTCTACTAGGAACATAGCTGATGAGCCAGGCAGATTCCTCTGACTTCAGGTTGTGTAAATGAGTGGACTCCGGCGGTGGCATTCGTTATTCTTTTCTCTGCTCACTCCCCCTGTATTCTTGTTTTAGGAGTTTGGCTTGGCCAGGTTCAAAAGCAATGTGACCAAGAGTACCAAAGGGTTTGAGTACGTGCTGGCCAAAATGCAAGGTGAGTACTGTGGTGGTAAAGGAAAGCGTCTGAGAATATGCCACGAGCAAACAGTGGGATGGAGTTCCTAAGCCTCCAGCATTGTTAGCACATTCAGGTTCTAAAAAGCACACAGATCCCTTTCACCAGTGCCAAGATTTCCCTCCTTTAGTTTGTTGCACCCATGAAAACATGTAAATTTTGTTGGGAGAGCAGCAAATTTGCTGCATCAACCGGACCTTAGGCTAGCACCGAATAGGGTAGAGCTTGTTCCATTTTCTGCAGGAAGTCCCAAGAGAGTTTTGGGTTGCTAATTTCGCCAGTCCTGCTCCAGAGTAGTTTCAGCATTCTAAACCAAGGAATGAGGTGAAGACAGAAAATGCAGCTTTAGAATGTCTGGAGCTACCTTTTGGGGGGCAGGCGTCTTCAGTGCTTGTTCTAGGTAAACCTGTAGACTTCAGATTTTTAGCTAGTGGCAATATGGACTATTGAGAAAACAGCAGGAGAGTTTCTCTTTGGCTCCCTGTTTCTCTTTTTCCAATTGGTGTTTCTCGTGAACATTAGGGCTAGATAAAATAACACTTCCTTAACTATGTGGAAGGAGATGCCCACTGTAGAGAGTGATACCTAAACAAACAGCAGCAGCAAACTAAAACGCTTACATTGATTTTTTGTTCAGACCTTCAGGCAGTTCAGTGGACATACTTAAGAGCTTTTGGCTTTATTACAGGTGAAGCACCATCCAAAACCTTGGTGGAAACTGCAAAGGAGGCAACCGAGAAGGCCAAGGAGACTGCCTTGGCAGCAACTGAGAAAGCAAAGGACTTGGCTAGCAAGGCAGCTACTAAAAAGAAGCAGCAATATGTTTGAAAAAAACTCAGTTTTCCTGCTGTGGGGAATAGAATGCAACAAAATAATACTGGAAGGCTTACCTGTCTGTAACTAAGCGTCTCTTCCCTTGGGAAGCATGTCTCTAGCTTTTGTGTTTTTTTTAAATTGAAACTATACAAATCTGACAATCATCTTCTTTCTAAAAGGTGTAATTATCATTAAAAGAATAGACTTCAAGTTAATCCAGTGCTAGGGCCTGTTCCTCAGGTGGGCACCAATTTTCAAAGCTGTGAATAAGCCAATAGAAGTCTTCCTGTTTACATTTCCCTTCTATGCAACTTGGAGGTCTCTGTATATTAAGATGTGGGTGTGGGTGGCTGCTGGTTAGTAAGTATGCTATAAACAGCCTCACCCATGTTTTGCATTCTTAGGAGAAAACCAGATGAATAGGATGCAAGAAATTAAAAACATTTACTAGAATACTGCTGAGTACATAAGCGGATGGGTCACAAAACAGAAGCAATGTTTGTTTCGGGGAAAATCAGATACTTCAATTGGGTGGAATGTGCCATGGAATGAGAGCCCACTAGCCATTGTCCTAACTGTTCCCAGCTCCCCTTGATGCAACCCATTCCATGTTGAGGAATTTGAGATAAGAGCAACCCGGATTTGCTAGCTTGTTCATCCTGCAGTCCTGGAACTAAGTGCATATCTGCTATAAAGTTGGAATGATTCAGTATGTCATGGTCTACTGTTGCCCTTGTTGAGACTTGCTTCCAGTCCTTAACAGGCCAAGCCTACCTCCTCTTTCTGACTAGGAGATGAGACACACAAGCTTTCACAGCGGGTGGGGCACACAAGATCATATAGCTACCCCATGCATAGCATAAGCTGTCTGGTACACATTAAGTGCTGTCCCATTATTGAGTAATCCAAGTCTTTTATCCAAGTCTCTAGAAAATGTTCCGGCTTGGTCTAGCAGAAAGGTAGAGGTACAGCATGGGTAGCACTGTCCTTTGCACCATGCAGAGTTTTGTTCAGAGCCAAATTCCATTCATGAAATCCTGGCTTTGCTGCTGGAAATCCATCTGGGTGAGAGCTGCCCTTATAACTAGGCTTCTGTCCATCATAACCAAAAGTTGCTGGCACTGGAATAACTGTGTTCCTGCCCAGTGCTGAAGGCAGCCACAACATCCTCTTCAACGCTGCTGAATGCCAGACCTTCCACGTCCACTTCTGCATCTTCTGTAGCAGGAAAAAAAAATACATCAGAGTTCTTTACCCATACAGGATCTAGTATCTTTTACAGACACTCCAGAAGGTCACTAGAGGCACAGGAACTGGGACACCTCCAGATGCTCCTGAACTGCAACCCCTGTCATCCTTGGTCATCCTTGCAGAGGGCTGATAGGAGTTGTAGTCTGACAACATTTGGAGCTGTCACAGGTTCCCCACCCCTGCCTTCCACAACCTGGTACTCTCCATGTTTTGGACTATAGCTTCCATCAACCTGAGCCAGCACAGTTGTGCTGGCTGAGACTGATGGGACTTATAGTCCAAAATGTCTGGAAGGCACCAGGTTGAGGAAGGCTGTAGTAGGAAATGCCTTCAATAGAACGCATCCAGCTATGGGGACCACAGCACAGGCCATCCGATTGTACGGCAACACCCACCTGAATCGGAGCGTTCGGAGGAGAACCGAGAAGAGTCCAGGCTATCGGTTCGCAGCCTCTCCACGCTGGAATGGGCCAGCAACTCTTCCAGCCGCTGGTGCAGGTTCTGCTGCTCACAGCGTAGCCTCTCCTTCACTTGCTGTGCTCTCTGCTCCTGCTCTTCCAGCTTCTGGAAGGGGAAAAGGGGTCAAGGACAATATCCAATCACTATAGCAAATGCTTCGGCTCTTTCCAGGTTCACCAGCTTTTGTGAGTTTTTGGGAAGCAACACTGCACTTCCATCACAGCTGTCCAGGAGGACTTTGATGTCTGGCTTATAAATTCCCTGGAAACATTTGGGTGGCCACAGCTGCTGGCAAGATGAGAGATCACAGGGGTATGATCCAGCAGGGCCAAATGAAGCACCCAATGTGAATTAGTTCATATGCGGTAAAATAAAAAGGTATACCCCTTAGCAACGCAACACACTGCTAAAATAAGAGGTTTAGTCACACTCATGTGATTTTTCACCCCTCTGGAGGTTGGAAGCTGTTCGATCCATTTCCAGCCCTACTCAGTAAATCTGTTGGATCCTGCTCATAACCGTCTCTCTCATGTGTTCCAAGTTTAAAGTACAAGGCTGGCAAGGCAACCTTGAAAGACAGCCAGTAAGCAGGGAAGTGTGTCGCTTACCTTAATATGCAGCCTGGCTCTGTGCAAAAGACTAAGGGTTGTATAACGAGAGCATTCCGTGTTCATGGGGACCTGTTGCTTTAGCTGATCCAAACAATGACGCAGCTGAGCCCTCCTGCCAGAGAAAAGGAGATCACAATGTGGGTTCGATGCATTGAGATGGCACGGGAGCTCGTGTCTCTGGGTAAGGCCTTGAGGCAACTTCCAGGCCCTTACAAAATTGGAAAATGTGTGCCTAAGTCTCCTCTAGCTATAGACATCCATGTAAGCCAGCCATGTAATTACTTCATTGTAATTAATTAACTTTATGTACAGAGGGGGAAACGGAACCAGATCTCGTCATCTGCCTGCAACTCTTACATGCCTATCTTCCTGAATCCCAGCAAGCTGATATGGGTAGATGGATAAAGGTAGCAGATGTATACAAATTGGGATGGTTATAATAAGTAGCTTGACACCCAGATCCAACCAACATGGCTTTCTTCCCATCTCTCATTGTATAGAAATCCTGGTAGAGTGATCTATGGCTACTGCATGCAGGATCTTAACAGTTGGAAAGCCCTACCATAAGAGCACAGAACTAAAAACTGGCCCAAACGAGTTGTATCAGAAGATCCATAACACGGTCTTCGTCTAGTTATCAGAGGTGTGTGTGTGTATATATAAGATTGAAGTGATTTGTGTGTGGAGGCGGTTAACTCCTTCAGACGTCTTTTAACTTCTTTAAAAAAACACAGGAGTTCCAATCATGGCTTTCCTGACATTTCATCTATTTACTGTAGGTATTGAGTTTTATGGTCTAAGTTGAACATCTTGTGATCCTCTACCCCAATGGAAACAACATGTGAGCATTTTAAATTAAACCAGGAACTCAAAAAAGGCATTTTGGCAAGATATGATGTACAGGGATTGACAATTATGCAAGGTTAATCAGGAGTGACAAATTTATCACGTGGCACCTTCATTGCAGGAGGTGCCAAGATCTCAATGCTGAAGAGTCAAGACCAGGGGTCAGCAAACTTTTTCAGCAGGGGGCCGATCCAATGTCCCTCAGACCTTGTTGGGGGCCGGACTTTTTTTTTTTAAAATGAACGAATTCCTATGCCCCACAAATAATCCAGAGATGCATTTTAAATAAAAGCACACATTCTACCCATGTAAAAACACACTGACTCCCGGACTGTCTGCGGGCCAGCTTTAGAAGGCGATTGGGCTGGATCCGGCCCGCGGGCCTTAATTTGCCTACCCATGGTCAATACACTTTATTTACTTAGCTGTGGTAAGTAGATGTTAACTTTATCACAATTTGATTGGAAAGTATGTATAGTACTCCAAATATTTCACATACTTCTTCCCTTCCATCACCCTCCATGGACATTTGCCTATGTGCATCTCCATTTAAAAATAAAATCCTATTGAAAACTAGTGGTCAACAGCGTGCTAACTCCTTATACAAAAATTCGGTGCACATCTCCTAAGTTTGGCAAGGTAGAAGTGGCCTGGGGCAGCCTTCTTACTCAGCTGTAAAATGCTTTTGCTACTTCATGAATTCCATCTCTCTACTTAGACAGGAAGTGCTCTTATAAAGAGGAGCTGGTATGTTCAGTGCTGTCAACTCCCACTTCTTACTGAACATGATAAATGAGAAATTACCCCTCTTCTCCCTGCAACCCCGGCCCTTCCTATATGAAAATTTACCTGTGCTTCTCCAGCTCATTGTGCACAGTTCTGAAACGAAAGAAGAATAGGGAATAAGATTAATGCATCACATTTAGATTTATAGAAAAATGATAGTTGGTTTTGTTCACATTGTCCACTGAGACAGAAAGTTCTCATTCAATCCCAGTAAAATCCTACCTTCCCAAAGCTCAATGTCTACTATCCACATAGTGAATATGCAGGACAGGAGAGGAAGAAGATCCATTTCATTCTCTAAAGTAGTTTATGAAGAAGCCCAGTAACTGGCACTGGACTGGACCAGTCAAGGTCCTTTTTGCTACATCATCAGAAACCCATACATCCAAGGGCCCAGGAAACATGTAATAAATAGCACAGATCCCTAAGTCTGGGGTGGCAGGTACAAGCTTGAGGTAATGTAAAACTAAATGCCTATTTGAGAAGAGTCAGATTTCACAGAGAAAATGACAAGTGCAACAGCACACTGCAAGAGGTGGGTGTAACTATTTCTGCAGTAAGAAAGCCGAGAGGTGGTACATAGCTCAGGGATGGAGCATATGGTTTGCATGTAGAAGGTTCCAGTTTCAATCCTTAACATCTCTAGGTAGGGCTACAAAAGACCACTGCCAGCCAGTATAGACCAGGCAGGCAATGTTGTGCTCTCAAAATGTTGTTGGATGGCAACATAGCTGCATGGCTAATTTGCAAGGATGATGGGAGATGCAGTCTGACATCACATTGGCTATGCAACAGGTGGACCAATGCTCTGACTCAGGATAAGGCCGTTTCCTATGTTCTCATGCTTGTGGTTGCGTGACAGTGGCACAACTGGTTTTAAAGAACCAGATGTCAGGAATAGTCATAACTGCTAACCTCTATGCCAGGAATGCAGCTCCTCGGAGCTTGCACAATGTCACAGGAAATATACAACCATCAATTAAAGCATTTTGTTTCCTGCAATTAGGACTTCTGTCTCCTATTGGATAGTAATGCAGTAGAGTATAGGAACCTCGGGGTCCATGTATTGAAATGTAAAAGCAAAACAAAATACCTAGTCCAATTCCTGAGCAAGGTAAAACCAATGAAAGAGGTTTTGATTTTCTTAAACCACAAACCCAAAAACTGATGTCCAGGAGAGAGAAACAACTCCACTGGCGGCTACGGCTTGTATCCAACTAATTTAATTCAGAGTAGACACACTGAAATTCATGGATCAGTATTAATCAAACCCAGTAACTTCAGGTCTACTGTCCATACAACTAATGCTGCATTCAAAACTGGTTGCCTCATGTCATATACAAGCATTTTGTTTCTGGTGGCGACCCCATCACTTTGAAGAAGCGCTTTGCCAGCCTCGCTGAGATTTCACACTCCCATCTTCTTTATTTTTATTTCGCTATATAGACTTCTGTTTTCAGTTAGTCCATCACCAGATGTTCCACTGCAGTTCCAATGGCAATAGTAGAACAAAACCCGGACTCTTACCTGAGGTTTAGCAGGGCATTCCGAGGCTTGGACCTCTTCCGGGGCTGCAACGAGTCTTTCCCGGAGTAAGGGGACAGCGAAGCGTAGCCATGTTCGGCTTCTGCGAGACAAAATCCGAGGCTCGGAACGATTTCGCCTCCGCACCATTTAATAACCCCCAGCCCACTTCTTTTCTAAGGAAGAAACCCACCACCCCATTCCTCCGCCCCACTCCCACGGAGGAGAGCCGGTCCTGCCTGCCTCCGATCGAGGAGCCACAGTATGGCCCTCATACCCCGCATAGCCAAGCCACCGCCCCCGACCCTGAGATAGGCAGGTGGTACCTCTCTCCCTGCGCTCCAGGTACTCCGCCGCTTGCAGCAGCACCTGAATGTTGCTGGCCATGAGCTCCATGACAACAGGCTCGGACCGAGCGAAGACTTTGTTACACCGTAACCGACCCACTGCCTTCGGCTCCGGCTCCGCCCCTTCGAACGCTCCGAGGTTCTAACCCCGCCTCTTCGAACCCTGGCGGCAGCCTCGGCAGGCCTCGGCACCGGCTCCAGTTTTGGCGCGGGCCACAAGCTTCGCTCCAGGAGCCGAGAGCTGCTTTTTGAACTGCCCGGAACTCCCAACACCTGCGACCCTCTGAAGCTCCGCGAGCCCACCCAGCTGACTTGTTTTGAATCTCACCCTGCGGCGGACGTGGCCTGGGAAACTAGCGCTCTCATTGGCTGAAAGGCTTGACCAGGCGTGGCTACGTCACTGCAGTTTCAAAACAAATTCGGGCGGGAAAAGGACGGGGCTTCAAATTTGAATTGGAGGCGGGGCCATCGCTCTCCAGCGGGAGTACAGTATATTGACGTGAGGGATTTTTTAAAATAAGGCTTCTAGGAGGAGGTCAGGCTTCTAACACCTCAGAATTCAGAGTAGTTCCTTCCTTCGACAATTTAGACTAGAACCCCTCGCTTCATGTGTCGCTCAGTAGTAGAGGAGGTGCTTTGCATGCAGAAGGTCTCAGGTGCAATCTCCAGGGAGGACTAGCAAAGACTCCTTGTTGCAGAGAGTAGCTCATAGCTGTCAACTTTCAGATTTGAAAATAAGGGATCAGCAGCCTCGAAAATAAGGGATCAGCAGCATAACTGTCAACTTTCGGGTTTGAAGATAAGGGATCAGCAGCCTCACCTGTCCCAGAGACAGTCTATGGGATATCTAACAATCTGGGATAGCAGTGGGAAACGGCGCTGAAATAAGGGAATTTCCCTCAAAAAAAGGGAAGGTTGACAGCTATGGAGTAGCTGCCAGTCAGTGGGCAACACTGAGGCAGATGGCCCATCCAGTGCCCTACCTTGGGGCAGCTTCCTATATGTATGGATGGGAAAGGTGCAAGAGAATTTAAGGCCTCCTCTTGTCACCACAATTCATGTGGTTGGGGAGGGTAAGAAGAGTGCTCTGTGAGAGAAGTAACCTGGGCTCACTATAATACTGCAACAAGATAATTTCTCATAGGGAAAACAAAGTTTATCTGTCATATGCTGCTGTTATTTAATACAATAGTTTACATGAACATGCATAATTTAAAGTAAGTGTGTGTGTGTGTGTGTTTAACTTGCATATCCTGACTGATTTCCAGTCACATAAGGTAGTCATATTTTCCTCATAGAGTTGGGCTTGTGAATGTATACGCTTCACCACATCCACACGGTTATAATTTTGACAGACACGGTGGGGAAGCTCCTCAAACATAGACGTCTACTGTGTCTCATCTGCAGTTTATATGGAAACACTCGGGTCTGGGTTAGGTGTGACCGAAAGGGCCATTTACCCAAGGAAATCCAAACCTACCATGGTGTCAAACAAGCCTGTGTCCTTGCGCCTACTTTATTCAACTTCTATATTAACTCCTTAATAGGAAATATGGAGAAAGAAAATGCCCACCCCCCTAAATTGGCTACTACACCCCTCCCAGTTCTCTTATATGCGGATGATGCAGTTCTAATTTCCTTCTCCTGTGTAGACCTAAGAAAACTTCTAAGATCTCTCACTGTTTATTGTAATGCCTAACAATTAACTATAGCAAATCCAAAGTTATGGTGTTCTCTAAAAAAAGAATGAGACACAAATGGAGAATTGACAATCGACCTATTGAACAGGTATCATCTTTTAAATACCTGGGTATAACCTTCCAGGAATAGGGCTCGTGGCATTATCAGGTTAATAATACTATTGCAAATGCCCAAAGATCTACCAAAGCTATTTTAAGGTTTTTCTATGGAAAAGGGGGCCTCCCAGGTCTTTGCTGCAAAAATATTAACACAACTGACATGGTGGGGTTGATTCATGGGTAGCTGCAGGGAAACATTGCAGTAATGGAAAAGGAGAAATGGAAACACAATTATATCCTCTGCTATTTTGGAGAGTAAAACAGAAGGCCTGTAATCCTATTGGTGCCAGCTGCAAGTAAGCCCTGCCAAGTTCAAAAGGGCTTTTTCCTAGGCAGGGGTGTACAGAACTGTAGGCCTACCATATACCTTAAGTTATGCCAAGGCCTAATCCCCTGCTGCCCTCACCCTCACTGATGGAAACTGTTGTCAGCCCTGTTCCTACACTACCTCCTAAAGCAAATGTGAGAGGAAGCTGACAATTGCATTATAATGAAAATTCATAATAAATCTTACAAGTGGAGCTGGCTATGCTTTTAGAATAGTCACCACTCCAAATGCAGCTGGGGAGATGGTCATTTGAAGGACAGAGGGAAGTTCTGCACTGGGTTTCTGGGATGAAAATCAAGGGGTTTGGTAGAGGCGGAATTACAGCCAAAGTGTTGGCAGCATTAATTGCTGAAGGTGGACACCCATGTGAAAGGCTGAATGAACAAATGAATCCCTGTAAACGCTTTCAATGTAACCTACCATTCCATTTACAGTGACACCTCTGGATGCGAACGGGGTCCGCTCCGAGCCCCATTCGCATCCTGAAGCGAATGCAACCTGCGTCTGCGCATGCGTGTGAAGTCATTTCGAGCGTCTGCACATGCGCGAGCAGCAAAATCCGGAAGTAACGCGTTCTGTTACTTCCGGGTCCCCGTGGAGCGTAACCTGAAAATGCTCAACCTGAAGCATATTTAACCCGATGTATGACTGTATATCAAAGAGGTTATCTGATGCTGGAAGGCAGGTGATGTAGCTCATCAAACCTGCACACAGAGAGGAGTGGGGATGGCCGGAGTGTGAGCTGAAGGAGGGAGAAAAACTCCACACACACACACACACACACACACACACACACACCAGGAAGGTTTAGAGTTTGTATTTGCATTTTCCTGGGGAAAGAAGTGTAGCAGCAGATTCTGCCTCTCAGTATCCAACAGTTAATTCAGCAAAAGTGTTTATTTTTTAGCCCAGAGAAGACAAATTGGCAACAGTAACAGATAGCATTTATTCAAGTATTCAGGAGAAGAACCAGCTCTGCCTGGTTTCAAAAAGGAGCTATAAATCTCCTGGAGAAGCTTCAAAAGCGTCTTCCACACAACAGTGTGGCAGGAGAGTTTTACAAGAAAATACATTGCATATGAAGACTGTTGAAGCCCTTAGCTGTATCAGAAGCTGGTGGGCAAAATGTCATGGCTATCCTCCACAAGGTTGCTGCTGGACTAGAGATCCTGCCTTTCAGTTCCAGTGAAAGGCTCCATAAAGCCCTTATTGCACATACACCCAAATCTAGTAATGCAACCTCAGAGATTTGTCAAAAATAAATCCACAGGACTGATGACTATCATGGGGCTCTTCCAAAAGCCAGGCAACCAGCACCAGGCAATCCCTCCATGGGCCACAATTTACTCTAAGGAAAGAGTAATGGGGGGAAAGATGCTTTTACTGTCATTTACAAGAGCTTGCCGAAACATCTTCTACAGTAAGCTCTAGCTCCAGCCCAAGGAATCCCACTGGGAGTTATTTATATTAAACAGCAAAGATTCAGTCCCCAGCTATTAAAGCCTGGCGTTGCCATCTCTTGCCCTGACCACCAAGGCCTTTGGAAAGTTCCCAGGAGCATCCTAATAAGACAAGTGTGGTTGTGCCCACAGTCCTTTGCTGACAGTACAGGCTGTTGCCACTTCCAAAGTCTTTGGTGTCTCCACAGGCACAGAAGGTGTTTGAGGCAGCTCCAATCAACTGGTATTTTTGCTAGTGGAAGGCAAGTGGGTGGTGTAGCAGTGTGTACAAATGCGGACTGGCTTCAGCTGCTTGAAGTGGGGCAGAGGCGCCAAGTGTGACGAGCAGCGAGAGCAGAAGATCTGGGGAGGAAATAAGATTGTGCGTCAAATAGAGCCGAGGGCCATGTGGTACTGCAAGCCCCACTTCACATGGAAGAGATGTAGCTGCTCTAATCCTTTGGCCAAGAAACATGATTGACCCAATAGAGGTCCCAACAGGGCCTTAGATTGCAGGCTTGTTCAATTATTGCAACCTCTCCCCATCCCTCCCATCTGGAGATGCCATCCTTTCAGGCACAACCTTTACTCACAATATTTTTTAAGGCATCTTTCCAGGGCAGAATGTAAGCCAGTCTTGCCCAACCAGGGACCCCCTATATGCTTTGAACTACAACTTCCCTCATTCCTGACTACTGGGCCATGCTGGCTGGGGCTTATGGGGTTGCAGCCCAAAAGATACGGAGGACACCAAGCCCAAGCCCTGGCCCATGACAAGATACGCTATAGTTAAAGTGTTCACAGGCATGGTCTGCCTGGTGCTTTTGCAGCTACTGCTGCTGCTTCCACTAGAATGAAAGTCCCAGGAGGTCCTTATTTAGCCCCATCGCCTACCTTGCCACAACTTCGGCAGTGGTGCCGTCGGCGAAGAAAGGTGAAAGGCATACGGCAAGCCATGCAGTGGCTGCAAGTGCTGTCTGGCACCCAGTCTGGTGGTGCTAAGGCATCTGGAAAAGAAAAGAAGGGGAGTTGGGGACACGGCCACATGTCTTCTAAAGTCTGCCAGAGCCATAAAACTTCCCCCAGCTAAAATGTGTTAAGAGAACTCCAATTACAGAGAGATATATGTTTATTCAGTGACAAAGCAGAAAGCAGTTCACGAGGAGTCACAAGTCATCTACCCAGGCACAAAGCCTCAGGAAAAGCCATAGGGCTCTAGAGTGGGGCACGGTTTGGACAACACAGCCCCTAAAATGTAAGGCAAGAGGGGGACTGTGCAGGATCTTTTGCTTACTGCAAATCAAAGAGCAAAATTCCTTTTGTCAGCAAGGCCAGCCCAGGGTCCCTGCCTGTGCATAATAAATCCTTGAACATGGGATAAACCTTTCTTGAAGGCTTGGCAGAGTGAGAGAGAGAAGCTCAGACCAAATTCCCCAGGACAATAGAGAGGCTCAGGAAGAGGCCTGTTTCACATTCTGGGCTCTCACCTTCTCTCCCAGTGCCTCCCCGGCTTCTGGAGCAGAGAGCACAGTCTGCCAGCTGAGAAGCTGTTGGTAGCACATGGACCTCCACCTCTGAAAAGGAAAAAAGAAAAGCTATAAGCATGCAAGTTGCTACTGCTCCAGGGAAAAGGCATCTGTGCTAGGGCAAAGATACAACTGGCATAGACACCTCAGCTGTATGTTCCCATAAATGTTCCATTCATTATCCTTAAAAAAGGGGTCCAACTACATGTTACGAGGGAGACACATAATCAGACATACCCAACTTTGTTTT